ATGGGCACTGATATGTGGCATTGATGTGCACTGGTATGCACTGATATGTGGCACTGATGGGCACTGACAGCTGGCACTGATGGACACTGACAGGTGGCACTTCTGGGGCCACACTGATCATCAGGGCACACTGATCATCAGTGCTCTGATGATCAGTGTACATGTCCCCTTCGTGGAATGCCGATTACCGGCTCTCCTGTCCTCTGTCAGCATGACAGCTCAAGAGGAGAGAGAAATGCGGATAACTGGCATTTCCATGTTTACATGTGATCAGCTGTGATTGGACACAGCTGATCACATGACCGAGCCGACATCTGGCTCTTTCCGTGATCCGTTGTGTCCCAAGGACACAGCGCATCGGCGATCGCCGCACTGTGCGCTCCCTGAGCCGCGCATGCGCACTGAGAATGGGAGGACGTCATATGACGTCCTCTCAGAACAAGAGAACCACCTTGCGCCCGTCATTGGACTATAGGGTGGGTGGGAGGTGGTTAAGTAAAAGCTGTTTTTATTACAGACCTTATTTTAGACCCAGTGATGTCCTCACTGGTCTCTGTTATTCCCTGTGCAATGAAGGAAGATCATGGCTGGTGGGAGGAGCTGGCAGGATGCTGTCTAGAGCTTCCTGAAAACATCACAACACCCGGCCTCAGTACTCTTCTCAGGAGCCCTCCCTTCTGATGCAAGCAGTGGGCCGGCTCTTGGGAGGAGTTATACAAATATGATGGACAGGTGTTGGTGTGGAAGAGGTGGGTGTTTCAGTTGCAAGCACACCGCCCTAAGTAACACCCACATGTGATGCTGAGCCTCCATGTTTGTAAGAAATGATTACAGGGACTTATATAGGGCCGTCAACTTACCTCATCATTTTAAAGTGTTACTAAACCCACAACAGTAAAATCAGTCTGTATATGCAGGGGGCTAATCCTCCAAATTTTGTAGAAAGGATGCTTGGCCCTGTCTTCTCTGCCCCTTCTCTTGTTGAAATGTCCACCTGATACCGACTGAAATGGTCACATGCTCAGTTTGGTGTGTATTGCTAAAGAGGTTTTTTTTTTTTTTCTTGGGAGGGTGCATGTGATCAGCTCAAAGAGCAGATACCAGACTCTGCATTCACTATATCCGCTCTCCCTGGACCCTAGATTCACTATATCCGCTCTCCCTGGACCCTGCATTCACTATATCTGGTCTCCCCGACCCTGCATTCACTATATCTGGTCTCCCTGGACCCTGCATTCACTATATCCGCTCTCCCCGGACCCTGCATTTACTATATCCGCTCTCCCCCGGACCCTGCATTTACTATATCCGCTCTCCCCGGACCCTGCATTCACTATATCCGCTCTCCCCGGACCCTGCATTCACTATATCCGCTCTCCCCGGACCCTGCATTCACTATATCCGCTCTCCCCGGACCCTGCATTCACTATATCCGCTCTCCCCGGACCCTGCATTCACTATATCCGCTCTCCCCGGACCCTGCATTCACTATATCCGCTCTCCCCGGACCCTGCATTCACTATATCCGCTCTCCCCGGACCCTGCATTCACTATATCCGCTCTCCCCGGACCCTGCATTCACTATATCCGCTCTCCCCGGACCCTGCATTCACTATATCCGCTCTCCCCGGACCCTGCATTCACTATATCCGCTCTCCCCGGACCCTGCATTCACTATATCCGCTCTCCCCGGACCCCGCATTCACTATATCCGCTCTCCCCGGACCCTGCATTCACTATATCCGCTCTCCCCGGACCCTGCATTCACTATATCCAGTCTCATTTGGGTACAGTGTTACATGACCGCGCAATTGCCAAGTAAAGTAGCGCAGCGCGGTATAACAAAAAAAAAATGGCGTGGTCATGAAGGGGGTAAAATCTTGCGGAGCTGACTTGGATAAGCAGGTGTTGAATGTTGGACGTTTCCCATTGGAAAGCCTGACTGACACTCCACTGTGGGCTTTGCTGCTCATAACTCTTTCCTCTGAGTTTTCATTGGTGTTGCTGCCATCTTGTGGATAAAATTGATATCTACATGTTCAAAGTTGTTGAATGTTATGAGTGATACTTTTTTTATGTATTTATTTCAGGTACTTATATAGCGCCATGAATTTATGCAGCGCTTTACATATATATTGTACATTCACATCAGTCCCTAACCCTCAAGGGGTGTACAATCTAAGGTCCCTAACTCACATTCATACATACACATACTAGGGACAATTTAGACAGGAGCCAATTCACCTACCAGCATGTCTTTGGAGTGTGGGAGGAAGCCGGAGTACCCGGAGGAAACCCACGGAGGCACAGGGAGAACATGCAAACTCCAGGCAGGTGGTGCTGTGGTTGGGATTTGACCCTAGTACTGCCAGGCAGAAGTGCTAACCACTTAGCCACTGTGCTGCCCACTTTTTAAAAATGTGTACCAACAATTACAGCGGTATTAAACCCAAAATGGAATTCGTTTAGGTGCAGCCTTTAGAAGATCGTGAAATTTGGATACTGGTGAACAAAAGCAAAACAGGGCACACTCTTCGTGCTCTGAAGAAGGGAGTACGTCTCCCGAAACACGTTTGCGTACCTCACCAGGGGTCTCCCGTTACTTTGAAATAATCAACCAAAAACCTTCGCCAAAATTTAAATCGCCAACCAATGCTGCTGCTCCTTGTTGACCAATAATCAAACAAAAATGTGTAAAAAAGATTAAACAGCGCAAAAAAAAACAACTTAATATAAATAAACATAAATATAAACACAGCAAAAAAAGTAATATAAATATATATAAAAAATATATACTAAAATAATATAATATATAAAAAATATATTCGTGTCCAATTCAATAAAGTCCCAATCCAAAAATATATATATATTCCACATCCAAATGTGCTCCAAAAGAAATGGTGATGAATTTCGTGCAAAAGAAACTTCAGTGTATTGACATCCTCTGTGACAACCAATTTATATTGCACTCACCAAATGTAATGGACTCTCAAAATTTTAAGGGTCAAAAACACTTTTTGGATAATGAATATCCTTCCAATAGGGACCTCCACCTTTCAGAAAGATGCTCCAATGGAAGGATTTTCCACACAATTTGCGCTATAAATAAAAGAAAAAACTAATTGTGTAATATTGTCAAAAAGCAATTTATTCCCAAAAAACTGCATTATTTGCAATCACATGTTTAAAACACAAAGACCGCCTTTAGTCAATTATATATGACCATCATAATCATCTCTGCCACTGAAGATTTCCCCAAACAAATGAATTGCCAACTCTCATAGAAAAAAACTAATGCAGCCACCACATTTATGCAGGCCATAGACGGGTCGAAAAACTGGCCTTTTTAAAAAAAAAAAAAATTGAAAAATCGGTCGGCCGACGGTGCCACAAACGGTAAAAAAAAAATCAGCCGATTTTCATCCCATCTACGGCCGGCATTTAATCTCCTAATTACTTCTGTCCCTTGCGAGAGCTCCGCTATTATATTTTTTATATGAAAAGTCTTGCGGTTGCAACATTGTATTCATTTGTATCCATTTTGGATACAGATGGTTTTATTCAGATTCAAATAGATACATTGTTGCAACCGCAAGACTTTTTCATATAAAATATAATTGCGGACTGGAATTCTTCTTTTTCTTCTTGCAGGTCACTGCTCATGCGCAGATTTTTTTTATTGGTAAAACGATTGGCCGATTTGCCCATCATTGCCGGGAAAATCGGCCGCAAATTTTCCAATTTTACCGATAAAAAAAAATGTGCCAAAACCTCGAAAAAAAAAACGGCCGACCAATTAACCCACTAATGGTGCGAAAGTCGGCCGATTTTCGACCCATCTATGGCCTGCATTAATGATTGGTAAGCTGCAATATATAAAATTTTTGGTTTTTGGGTTTAATACCGCTTTAAGCAAATGTTTAAAAAAACAAAAAAACCTTGTATAGTTTGTAATTATAAATTGTGACAAACAGTCCCCGTCAGTCCAAGAAAGAGTGCTGGGTGGAGTTTATCTTCCACTTGGGTTGCTGCGTTTCATTAGATAAACTGATGAACAAAAGCAAAACGGGGCGCATTCTCTTTGTGCATTACTGAGGTGAAACACAAATTTATTTAAAAGCATATACATGCATACTCACAAACCAAAGGGGGATAGAAACAAAGAAGGAGAGTCCGTAATGACGGTCCAAAGTGACGGTAGACCCTTGGTGAGGTAGGCTAACACGTTTCGGGAGACGTACTCCTTCTTCAGAGCAAAAGTGCTCTCTGTTTTGCTTTTGTTCACCAGTTTTAAGATTTCCGATCTTGTAAGGCAGGGGTCATCAAACTTTTTAAACAGGGGGGCCAGTTCACAGTCAGACCATTGGAGGGCCAGACTATATTTAAAAAAAAATAAAAAAACCTATGAACAAATGCGGACACAGTACAGGAGATGACCAGAGACTGGGGGCACAGTACAGGAGATGACCAGAGACTGCAGACACAGTACAGGGGATGACCAGAGACTGCAGACACAGTACAGGGGATGACCAGAGACTGCAGACACAGTACAGGGGATGACCAGAGACTGCAGACACAGTACAGGACATGACCAGAGACTGCGGACACAGTACAGGACATGACCAGAGACTGCGGACACAGTACAGGAGATGACCAGAGACTGCGGACACAGTACAGGAGATGGCCAGAGACTGCAGACACAGTACAGGAGATGGCCAGAGACTGCAGACACAGTACAGGAGATGACCAGAGACTGCAGACACAGTACAGGAGATGACCAGAGACTGCGGACACAGTACAGGAGATGACCAGAGACTGCGGACACAGTACAGGAGATGACCAGAGACTGCGGACACAGTACAGGAGATGACCAGAGACTGCGGACACAGTACAGGAGATGACCAGAGACTGCGGACACAGTACAGGAGATGGCCAGAGACTGCGGACACAGTACAGGAGATGACCAGAGACTGCAGACACAGTACAGGAGATGACCAGAGACTGCAGACACAGTACAGGAGATGACCAGAGACTGCAGACACAGTACAGGAGATGACCAGAGACTGCGGACACAGTACAGGAGATGACCAGAGACTGCGGACACAGTACAGGAGATGACCAGAGACTACGGACATACAACGGCGGTGGGACATACTGGGCCGGCCGCTCCATAAGACGCACAGACATTTCCCCCCCAAGTGTGTCTTATGGAGCGAAAAGTACGGTAAATGCAGGACACCTTGCTGGGTCAGATCCGTGTACAATGTGAGGGGAGAAAGAGGAGGTGGAGAGAGAAAGGGGAGGAGGGATGGAGAGAGAGGAGGGATGGAGAGAGAGGAGGGATGGAGAGAGAGGAGGGATGGAGAGAGAGAGAGGAGGGAGGAGAGAGAGGAGGGATGGAGAGAGAGGAGGGATGGAGAGGGGGGGGATGGAGAGAGGGGAGGGAGAGGGAGAGAG